CCAACCTTCTCAGCCCTCATCAAATCCTGCATGAAGAGCAGGAAACAATAATGCATTTCTTCCAGTAGGGGAAATTCTTAGTGTTACTCCCAGTTTTCTCACTAAATATAAAGGCCTAACAGAACAGTCTAATATACCAAGTTTACATTTTGGTCCTGAATTGTGAGAGAAGACATGAATGTTTCATTTCATTTTATCTTCTATTTTGAAAACTCAAAGCTATTATTTTAATCATTGGAAAAGAATTTGACATTTCTAAACTTCCTAATTAAAATAGATACCTTTTTCAAGCTGTTCCCCTCTCTCTAAAGCTTTCTGGGTAACCTAGATTCAACTCAGATATTTGCTTCTACAGGAAGCATAAAATTTTGTTTTGTTTGGCAAATGAATATTATCTTTGCCACTTCTGGATCCAAACTTCCCATTTGCCTGTCTTACTTCCTCCAAGCTATAGGGCAGTTGGTCTAACAAAAGCTACTACAGCACTATTTTCTTGACAAAAAAAAACCATGATAGATACAGATGGCATCAATACACAGACAACAAAAAGGCAAACATCCAACCTTCTTTTATAAAGCAGTGTTAATCTCCCTGAGAAATGGCTGAAGACCAGTTTTCAAGCTGATACCCAGTTTCAATTTCCATGTTACTGCTGTAGCGCTCGAACTAAGAGACAGAGCCCATCATACATTACACCTCGAAAATTAGTGATCACAAGAATTATACACACAGTCCCTCTATATACATCTTGAGAAAGGTGAGAGCACTGTGCTAAAATACAACCACAGAAGCGCATGTAAAATCTAGGTTTAAAATATTTTCCACGCACCTGGATAATGATTACTGCTTTTTCCTGCAGCTGGGCTGATAACTTCTCTTGCTGCTTTTGGTGAGCAGCCTGTGCCTTCTCCCTCTCCTGAATCAACATCTGCTCCTTGTCATGTAGTGATGCCTTTTTTTCAGCTTCAAATTCATCCTGCGTAAGTCAGATATAGTTTGATTTACGGGGCAGGGGGGGAGAAGAAACACCCCCAAAAAACCCACAACGAAATGCTCCTCCCACCCCTTTTTTTTTTTCTTTAAATATGCACACCTTACCTCTCAGATTAACCAGGAATAACTTACATAGTTAACACCCCCAATCAATAAAATTATGCCAAAACTATGATTTGAAAATAGTTAAGTAGGTAAATGAACTATCTGAATGTGCCCACTGAGACCTGGGTCATTTCAGACTGCTGAGATAGTGATGAGGACCAGAAAACAGATGGATAAGTTGGGACAGAGATGGACAGAAGCCACTTTCAGCAACTGCAAGTAGTACAACATGCATAGTACTGAGTTCCACATAGGAGGAGTGATTTACCAGAACAAACTGAAAATCTACAAGGTAGATTTACATGGCTAAATGACCTAGAAGCTATTAAAGTGGACCTCACCTCAGAGTACTCTAAAGCACTCTTAAAGGAAGGGATTATTAGACAACCCCCACTGCTGCATTGGAAAATAAGGGAGGTGAAACAAGGTCCTGGGATCCCTTCCCAAAGAGGCGAAAAGGAAGTAATTGTTTCTGCAACACCAGAACTGGGAAATAAGTCTTCCTGGTCACAGTATAACAAAACCTCATGCAATTTGATCTATGAAAACCAATACACTCCAAGGTGATAGCTACCTTTTTTTATCGGTAAGTCAAGAAAACAATTTTTTCCCCAGGGCATGAAATAAGACTTCAGAGCAGAACATGTGTAGTCACCTGAGCTGTCCTGGATTCTTTGCAGAAGACTCAGCCAGTGCTTGCACTGAGTAGAATAACCCATTCATCACCAGCTCCTCGGGTGAGGACTGCTTGCTGCTCAATGAGACCATAAGGTCTGTCATCATAGCCAAGATCAAGACCAATGCTGGCACTTGGGCAATAACAATACCAACTCCTACCCAGAATCCATGAAGCAGAGCAAGGTAGAAGAGCCAGGTCTGCATAGAATTATAGACTCAAACAGCAGAGCACTTAGCAGTTAGCAAGATAAAAATGAACAGACAAAGGAGTATGAGGACTTTCCTCAACCAGTACAGTAAACTTGTGGACAAAGTCTCTGAAACAGCCTGTCGATTCTTCTGAGAAGCAGTGCATCCAGTAAAAGACTATGCCAGACTGTAGAAAAGAAGTCTGAATACCTAAAATCTGCTAGGGGAGCGGGAGGGAAGAAAGCAAGGAAACTGGCTGGCATGAAGACAGCCCCATAAATGAGCACAAGGGAAGCAGGTAGGGGAAGGCTCATTGGAAGAACCTGTATCAGACCATGATGCAGCTCAGCCTGACATTGCAAAGAGATCCAGTCAGTCTCTTCTGGGACAAGACACCAGTCATCAAGGTAGTGAGACAAAAAACCAAAACAAAACAAAAAAAACAACAAACAGAGACATCTGTACTAGCAGTAGAATTACCCCTACCAAAATTTCAATTAAAAGAGAGATTTCTGGTGTCCCAAATACTATACTCAGTAACTAAGGCACCTAGGCAACACAAGAGAGAGAAAACCAGGCATCACTTCTGCGGTATATACATAACAGTCAGTCCAGTCCCAGTTTCTATGGACTAAAGACTGGGGTTCAGCTGAGGACAGCAATGCCAACTATACCTCCAGCAGCTTTTCAGGATATACTTGTATCCTCTGTTTCAAAAGACAGCTGCACCAGATGGAGAGAGGTCAAAGAATGACTGTTAGGAAGAGTCTCACCTCAGGTTGGAGCACTGACAGGAACAGTAAGGATCTGTTGCAATTTCTCAAGGAGAAGCAAATAAGCAGATAGTAGTTCATCTAATCTAAATTATTTGTGCTCAACAAGTTGAGCTCAACACATGCTCAATTCAGTGATAACACTGAAATGAATGTAAGCACTGCTCCCAGTGTGTCGGTGAGTTTCCCTCTCTCTTCTGACACAGGATGTGTCTTTCATTTAATAGCTAATAATTCATTTAATAGCTCTACACGTGCTTGTCAGCTAACCAATGAAGACATTTTGCACAAGGCTTAGAAGATGATAGGCGATTACTACATCGTGCACTAGGCTAAACAAAGATAATTTTCAGGGATAAGCATCTTGAAGATGCTCATCAAGATGAAAGTTTGGAACTCAGATGATGAACCCAAGAAAGCAGAAATTAAGAACAACTGCAAAAAAGTCTCATGCACGAAGTGCTCGCTGCCATCACACACTTGGTAAAAGCTTACATAACACTGAATTTTTGTTGCCATATATACACAAGCGCAGTAGACAAGGGATGATAGGCCAAAGGCTTGGTCTATGCAGACACCAAAAAGAAAAAGTTTCAAATAACAAACTGAACATAAATGTACGCAAGGACTGTTGCTTGGAGCAAATACATTCCACTGATTTTTTTTGGTTTTGTTTGAAGGACACCACATCCAATTCAGGATTTTAAGACAACCCTGTAGTAAATACCATGACTGCTTACAGAACACTGCATTGTTTTCAATACTGCTTTTCTAGTTCTAACACTGTAAGCAAGGAAGAGATCTAACTCAGATTGTCTTTTTAAAGTCATATGGCTGAAGAACAAAAGTGTATACCAACTGTTCTTTGTCAGAAAAAGCACACTACCGGTGCATGCTCTGAAGCTCATTTTAATCAGACCCTACCTTCAGCTGTGCAATCTGCTGTTCAAGCAGTACCTCTGACTGACACTTCAGCAGCTCAATCTCTTCCTGGAACTGAAGCTGCTGCTTCAATTTTACCTCCTCAAACTGAGCCAGAAGAGCTGTCCGCACAGTTTCTACTTCAGATGCCGATGCAGAAGCATACACCTGCAGACAAGTAATATAAAATATTTTAGCGTTAGTGTAATTAAGGAAAAAATAAAACAAAAAAAACCCCGCAGCGATCAAGCTCAGCCAAATTCTTAGGAGTAAAAACCAATAGTTCTCTCCAATCCTCAAGGCCATACAGAGCTGCTATCTCTCATCATCCTGACTATAGGAAAAAAACAAGTTGATAAAAATAGATAAGAAGCAATATGACATTAAGTACCAAGTGTTTCCTGTATTCATGAGACCATCAGGTCAGACCAACAGAGTACTCCCTCCATGTTCTTTCCAACAGACATTCGTCTAAAGAGAAATTCAAAGAAATAAGGAAGAAAGAGGGGGAGAGAAACACAGGGAGAGCATATTTTGTTTAAGATGCAATTTCTCTTGTTCAAATGGGATTAAACATCATGCAGCTATATTTAATGCAATTATCCTCTGAGATACAACAAAGAAGTCCACCAAAAATACCAGAGAAAGATTTGGGGTTTTTTTTTTGTTAGTTTGGTTTTGTTGTTTGTTTGGGTTTTTTTTCTTTCTATTATCCTCTCTAAGAAGAGTCACTGTAGTCATCAGAATAGACAGAAATCCTTTTTTTAGGATGAAGGGCTTAAAAATTTAGTAATTGTGAGAACTTCGCACAAAACTAACAAAACTAACTTCCCAGGCAAGCTATTCTTCCAAAAGTAAAGAGCCAGCTGGAAACCACGACCAGCTCTACAGCCTGACAGTCCAAAAGAACACAGGGGATCTCCTCAAACCTACGTGTTTTTTGTGAGGTACACCAAGTAATACAACAGTGCACCAGTTATTAGAGAGTTATTTGGCACGCTATCCAATTTTCAAATTAGTAAGTTAAAAAGGAAAAGTAAGTTACATTTTAACATAACATATGTTGTTTGGTTATAGCTGGATAAAGCTTATTTTGTTTGCGACTTCTCCTAATATATGAATGTAATAATATAGAAAAGTGAAATGTCTCGATCACTTGTGGCTGCTTGCATCAACAGAAGTCAGATTGTATAAAACACTGAATAAGTAGAAGATCTTATTCCATTTCAATGTTTAAAGAGAACTTAGTGTAGATGATCAAATTTTCAGCCTTCATTATGAAAGTAAACATCATCAAGCGTACACATAAACATTCCCAACAAGAAGAAATGGTAAAGATTTAAGGGGAACTAAGAAGATTTCCAAACCTCACTGAGAAAACATATTTGGAAAAAGTATTACCTACTACAATTTCTCTAAAAAAAAGAAGTCAACATTAGTAAAGATTGTTCACTTATAAAAGCTTGAAGTGAGCAGTTACTTTCCACAAATGGTTAATGACCCAATTTATTACCTATTAGTTTTGCATCAAAATGGCAGCTTTAACATTTTGAATTAAATACAGCAGGAACTCAGAAGAAAGCAAGCCCACTTCCTTCCCCACTCCCCAGTAAAGATAGCACTGCAAATATGGGTTTATATTTTTAAAAATTCAGGAAAATATACATATCTGAATTCTTTTAAGTCCTTTTAGATAAAGCAAGGCTTAAAAATGTTAACTTTGTCTCCTCTTATCTACTGGCACTATTAAAAAAAAGATCCAAAAAGCATCTAGATATACAGCCTTACTTTTGAGGTTAATAATACTGAATTTATTTTATGTTAAAGTATGGATTATTTTGGGTTTAGGTATTAGCAACATTCCGACCTCCTGCTCATGTTCATGCTGCGCTTTTAGTTTCCCCAGTTCTTTTTCCAGCTCCCTGGAGTATTCTTCCTTGTATTTCTTAATTTCTGCCTCATGAAGATCCTGAAGTTCTTGGAGTGCTTTTCTATGCTTTTCCTCCATATGTAATACTTCCCCACGTAATATATCCAGGGCCAGACGTTTTTCTTCTTCCAGCAGCTTCCTTTGATTTTGAAGAGCTGTGTTTAAGTCATCCTGTGTAAGTATTATTTAAAAAAAGGGAAGAAAAAGTAAGTACAAATATTTCTGTAACCCATTTGTAAGGGACATGTCCTGCTGTATCAAAGCTTTTTAAGTAAACACAAACAATATTGCCTCATGTATGATGAGCACACATACATATTACATATACATACTATGTAACTGAAATGGTGTTTTTTTCCTATCTAGTAAAGTTTTGTAAATTCCCTACTTTTTCCTCTATCTGTGACAGCACTCCCCATCAGCACAATCTTCAGCTTCTGCTTTTTGAAGCTCTTTACACTCAAGAACAATTAAAATTCAGATTTAAGATTAGTTAGCAAAGATAGGACAGAAGAAAAATACCTACCTTTCCCCGCACAAGATCTTCCTCTTAGGCTTTGCGGGCACAAAAACAACATATAATCATAATTTTGGGAAGCGGGCATGGTGACAGACAAGTCTGAAAAACAGTACATCTCTCTCTGAAAGGCTCTGAAGTTTTAGCAACAAGCTAAGCCTTCTTACCTCTTTGACTTGGAGACGTCTTGGGAACACATTTTTTTACCCATCTGAACTCTAAAAGAGCTCATACCTCTGCCCTATCAAGAGTAAAGCTATGGATGGCTATTAAAGGCCCTAAGGCAAGGTCCACTTGCCCGTGACCTGCTCCCAAAATCCCATCTGGGACCTTTGGAGATACCTTTCTTCTATTCTTCCCCTCGAGACTATGCCACTAGGGAGGATCTTTGGATTCCTAGAGATGTAGCTTAACCTACAGAATTACATTTACTTTGTTCTAATAGCTTCTGAAGAATTACATGGTAACTCTATCAGGCAGAGAAGCTCTGAGCCACACAATAGAGACCCTCCAATCTGAATAATGTTAAAAATATTTACTTCGTTTGTACCTTTTCCACACGCTGAGACAGAAAACTCATTAGTCTGAGCATTTGGGCGGGGGGGGGGGGGGGGGGAAGCGGGGGGCTATTTT